CATAACAAATACATACTATTAAGAGCCAAATTCTACATGTATAATAACCCTAACATCAATGGACAAGGATGGAAGAAAACCCTACCTCAATGTTCTTAAAAACCTAGGTTTAGTGTGAAGAAGATGAAGATTTGATCTTCTTTGAAGTATAGATCTCCTCTTGATCTTGTGTTTTATCCTTCTCTCTTCCTCTAGAGTCCTAAGAGAAGTGGGTTGAGAGTGGAATGAGAGAAATGAGAGTAAAGCCTGAAATCTGTGTTTTTAAACACAGAAATCCCGAATTTTCTTTTCTTTTACTGTTCATGGGCTGCTTCAATATTACTTCGTTATCGGGGCATAACTCTCTCATCCGAGCTCCGATTGAGATGATTCAAGATGCTATGGAAAGCTAAGAAAGAACTCTACAACTTTCATGTTTTGAGTTTTAAGAGATATTGACTACATCAAGGTCTAAATTGGGCTTGAAGTTGCATCCAGTGCTCAGTTCACGTGCACTGTTCACTATTTTATCCATTTTTCCATTTCCAATCTACCAAAATCAAACACACATCGCTACACCTATCCCCATTTTTACAAAAATTATTTAATATATATCTATAGGCATATATATAAAATAAAATGCGGAGTGTTACAGATTAACATGAAAAAGATGTATACCTAGAGCCAAGGTCCTCAATGGTTGAAAGCATGCACTTAACACATGTTTGGATTATGAAAGAGCTAAGATAAATCGATCTTAATTTATGCTCGTTTGATTTGATTTGTTTGAATTAAATCATAGGTTTTGATTATTTGAGTAAGGACAAGAATTGAATCAATTGTGGTTGCTCTTTCAAGAAACAATATATTCAGTTTCGGCCAGTAATGGAGACAGTCGGGCTTTTTTTATGTTAGTTCAAATATCCAAATACCATTGTGATTGTCATCCACCTTGAGTTAGTTTCATGTATTTTTGGACTACATTCTTTAGTTGGAAAAATGCAGTGATTTCAAATCATGCTTGTCATAGTTGAACTATTGCGTGGTCCATCCGAAATGGTTTGACTTTGCTATAGAAGTGGAAAGCAGGCCGCTATAGGCCTTTGCGATGCCAACTTAAGATATAGGGGATTTTGTCGTTCATGTTATACTACTTCATACTTGATTGCAAAGAATATCTTGATCAAACACTGCTGTCATTAGACTTCGGCAATGGATTAGCCATGAAATCTTGTGCGCCCTCACATCGTTTGGTCATTTATTTGACATTGTGTACTCTATGTTTATACTCTTTTAAGTCAAAATATCTAAATACTCGGTAATTGAGTACTGCTGGTGATTTCTGAAATTTGAGTTATTTTTTTGGTACAGTCCTTAGTATGACCTCTCTTCATTTGAGTTTCTTTTCTTAAAATTATATCTTAGTACAGGTACAATGACATTGCGAAATATGGATTCTTTTCAATTGGGAAATACGGGCAGCCTGCCATTTCAGAACCATCTAGACAAAAGGAGTTATCTTCTTCACAGAATACATCTAATTTGGATAGACCAACAGATCTTGGGGGGTAATTTTCCAACTTAGCCTGTTTATGGTTCCCAAGTAGGCTCATCACTGCTGATTGAGGCATTAATAAAAATAATGGTAACTATAATTTCGTTGCTTCTTTTCACAAAATTTGTTTGTGATAAAATAGCCTTTTGCAGGGTTTTGATTGGAATTTCTGAGCAGGTCTATTCAGTCCTGCTCTTGAGCTTTTTCTTCCTACAGGTGAGGTATATTTTTTCATTTTTTCATTTTTTCTATGCTGATTTATTTTTGATTGCTCGTTGGTTATCTATTTTAAGATAACAGTCACTAGCTTCAAAAGATATTCTGCAGGTTTATGTTACAGGATTTATACCATATGTTGGGAAGGCACTCAATTTTCTACTTCTTTCGTGGATGTATGCCTATTACTGCTTTGAGTACGTGTTGAATTTGTTAATGCTGTTCTTATATTGCACCAACTATAAGCTACATACATGCTCATTGGAATTTTTTAAACTACTTAGGTACAAATGGAATCTTTCGGGACTAAGTTTGGATAAAAGGCTGGACTTATTTGAATGCAATTGGGCATTTTTTGCTGGATTTGGTATTATTTTGTTTCCCCCCTGAATTCTATTAAAGTCCCTTCAGTATCCAGTGGCATTTTTTAAACTCTTATCTGAGCAACTTCTTAAATCCCAAACAAAATATGACTGTGTTTAAGTCTTTGGGTGGCATGTGATTCCACTCATACAAAGTGAAACCAATTTGACCTTTAAAAAGGTTTCCTAAGGAAATCCCTCATGCTCAGAAAAAGCAATTTTTTTTTTTTAGTTATTTCCTTCTTTTCTTCCGTTTTTCTTCCTTGGTGACAAGGATTTTTATGTTTTTTGTAAGAAGCGTAGTAAATAACTGAAGGAGTCAGGGAGTGGAAACTCTATTGCTAGTGATGGTAACCTGCTTTGTTATTAGACCAGAGCATTCAAGGCTTGAGTTTCTGTTGGTTGGGAAAAGGCAAATAGTTGAATGACAATTGCAATAATTTTTCAAGTTGAATATTGAACATACATGAAAATGAAGCTTACATCCCCCACTTATATTGGATGGAAACAGCGTTGAGGATGTTGCCTAAAGTAAACTAGTCTGGTGATAGCTAAGGGTTAGCTCTTTGATATGAAATGTTGCCTACACGAAAGTATCATTATGCATACGAAATTAAGAGGTACTTATATGCACACCAAGTTTATAAGGAGCATAATATTTTAGTTATTAACATTTTTAAAATATTAAGACTTTGTACCCTTCCTAATTTGATAGAAATAGAATAGGTTGCAATATGATGTCACACTCTCACATGATCTAGTCATGTCAGAATTGTTTCTTCATCTATCTATGACGTATTCAGCAATGTCCGAGCTATTTAATGTGGAAATCTGAGAGTTACTTCCAACATTCATTAAAAAATTGCAATAAATCATGTATCCCAGTTGCAGTGTAATTTTTATTGTAAGTCCATCACATGGCTTCCCTGCTTTGTGCCACAGTACACGTCGCACAAAGTGACATGGATGTAGTTATAAATGCAGGTGTGGATATATCAGTCTACCATTGCGGTAGGTCCACAAAATTGAAGAACAATATGAGTTTTGTCCGACATTACTAAAGTCTTCATGTCACAAATGGCTCCCTTTCACTGGAACACATCAAACAGTTATCACAGTGACATTATTCTGGTTGGATGTACAAGCCAAAAAAAAATTGTGAATTATTAATGTCAAAGCACCTGGCTCAATTAGCAATGCGTGGAGAGACCACTCAATCATACAAATGAACCTTGGGTGGCCTCCTAATCTTTTAATACCTTCTCTCACGTGGAACCCAGTCTGCATGTGGACCAGCAAACTAACAGATAAATATGCATACCGGGAAGTTCAAATAGGTGATACACTTGACCCCTACCACCTAAGGCGAGATATCATAATAGAGGCATTAAACCCGAAAACCATCTGGCACTGAGCAGAGAGCCGATAGGTCCCTCAACGTTAAGTAACATTGGGTGCTTTTAATTTTTCGATGAGATATACGAGCTCTTTTAAAATCAATATTGTCAAGCAAGAACTCAAGACTCATCTCAGTCTTTACAAATTGTTTTTATGCATCGATGGAAGAATATATAGGACAACAGTTATACGTAAATAAACATTCCACCTTGATGGACGGGTTGGTTGTCTCCTTGGCCATCCCATTCTTCTTAGGTTGTAATTTGATTCTCTCGAGAGTTTCTTATCATTTCAGTATTCCTTATTTCACCCTTTTGAAGACCAATTAGATTTGTAGGGTGGCACACATGGAGGTTACAAAAGTTACTGAATTGTATAATATCAGAAGGATGATACTTGTGTTGCACATAGTATGATATAGACCAATCCAAGTAGTTGGGAAAAAGGCTTGTTGAGTATAGATGAGCTTGAAAAGGTCAAGCTTGAAAGGAAGCCTGTTAGTATCAACCATTAACATTCTCATTGTTCGGACCATTTGGACAATTTTCAACTGTAAATGAAAGTGGTGATTCTTGAAGAAATGTTGTATTTACTCTAATAGCATATTGTTCTCTTATTACAGAATGTACAGTCATGGTTTGTTTAGTGTTTTCCACCCTTTAGAACCCAAAAATGGGCATAACATCCTCTTGCTGTTTCCAAAGCATTTATAAGCTTCAGAAATAATTAAGGGATCACAGTTTTTTTTGAGTCGTTAAGTACAAAGAACAATTTCAATGGTGTTGCAAACAGTATACTGGCCTCATTTTACTTCCATTTTTTGATGTAGTGAATATGTTGAATTGATTTACTTCAATTGAACAAATCATCCAGAATTTTTTTAGTGTATGTGCACTCTTTTACAAGCATTAACATGTTTTCTATATAGTGGATGTTGTGGTGGTTTATCAAAGGGTATACGCATGATATACTTTTTCAGGAAATCCTTGTGTTCTGGCCACGGTCTTTTTCTCTCCTCTTGTGAGCTATGGTGTTATGGCTATCCTCTATCCACTGGTAAATTTCGACTCTCTCTCTCTCTCTCTCTCTAATGTCATTTGTATCATTTTCTTGCTCCTATTCTCCCAATATTCACTCAACCCATACAAATTTTTCTGTCTTTTCATTGTGTTGAATAGCCACTGGGCAACACATGGTGGAAGCTATAATCATCATATAATTTTGGAATCAGATGAGTTGATTTATGCACCAAACACTTCCAGAGTGAACTTAAATTGCCATGTGGGAGGAAGTGTTGATAGGATGGGGTATTGGGGCGNGAAGCTATAATCATCATATAATTTTGGAATCAGATGAGTTGATTTATGCACCAAACTCTTCCAGAGTGAACTTAAATTGCCATGTGGGAGGAAGTGTTGATAGGATGGGGTATTGGGGTGTAGGTGTGTCCTTTGGTTTATAATGCTTAGATTTTCTGGTCTGAGTACAATGAATCTTTTGCAGTTGTTGATCGTCGAATTTAGATTTCTAGTTTAGGAAGGTCTGTTAGAAAATGAAACTTACACGATGGGATTTTGTATTATTTATCCGGCTTGGAATATGATGTTTGTTGAGCTCATAATGGATTTTGATGTGATGATTCAATTGTTTCCAATACTCGAGATCCTCACAATTTGTGAAGAAGGTTTTCTGCCCTGCCAAAGTCAAAAACTTGAGAGAAATTGTAGTTTAGTCAAATTTAATGGATAGGAGTTAAGAAACCACCTGTCTGCAAGCAGTAGTACGATACTTCTTCACTATAGCAACTATATCACTCTTAAATGAATAGAGATACCTTTATCTGTTCTGTTTAAATCTAACGGGCTGAATGGAGGGTTGTGGCACCAAATCTTTGTAAGGGTTGCTTATTTCACGTCTTATGCTGGACAATAAATTCTATTACTGTTCAAAGTAGATTGCTTGTTAGAAATATAGTGCATTTGTATAAGTTGGATGGTTCTGAAACATCGTGGAAATATATTCTGTATTGTGGAACCATATTACATTGTTGACTGCTGGTTATGGTGGCAGATGTATATGTATTCTAATGGCAAATTCTGGTGGCAATTCTAACAGTTGTGTTCTCCAGTTTGTTTTGACTGCAACAGGTTCGGATGCTGACAATGTTATTGCTTCTCCAAGAAGCAAATGGAGGGGTGCAGGATTGGGAAGGCTTCCATTGTTTTTTGCTGCAAATTATTTGTCGTAAGATATTCCCTTAACCACTATTTCTTTTCTCAATAGGATTTGTAAACAACGCCGTTAATGTCATTTATTCAAATAAAAATAAAGTGATTTATAGACACCAGCCTAGTGATGAGTGGGAATCTGGAAAGAAGAAAGAGTGCAATTCTAGGAGTTATCTATTCTTTTTGGGGAAGATAGGATTAAAACCTGTGATGCTGTTTGCTCCATTGAATTAGTTCTTAGCCTTTTAGACATCGGTTTTCCCAGCTCCATGGAATGACCTTTAACGTTGCTGGGAAAGATTAAAAAGCTACTCTATTTTGCTGCATCCATCTTCATGACCATAGTCCATAGTCATCCTTCCTCGTTCTGTTTCAACCTTCTGCAAAATGGGAGGCACTATATGCTTATTTTGAAAGCCACTAAATTTGCATGTTGTAATTTTTAATCCTGCAGGATGCAGGTATTGTCTCTCATCCCCATGGAACCTCGAGAAAAACTGCAGGAGAACAAGTCACTCTGAGAAGTGGTTTTGATGCCTTACACCTTCCACGAAAGGTATGTCAATGTAACAGTTGAATGTGGAACACTTTTCAGGTTGCTGAAATTTATGCAGTATGGTCTATTGTTCCAACTGGCCCTACATTATTGTTAAATTGGAGGCTTCAATCAAATATTACGACATTTTTGATCCATCTTCTTGTGTTGTGCAGTAGATAGATGCAAGCTGTGTCATAAAACAATGCTTTCTGAATCTCGGGAGGTTTCTTAATTTGCGACATTTGATCCATCTTCTTAATTTGCGACTACGTGCAGCAATCCAAGGGAAAGAAAAACAGCAGCTGGAAACCATTCTGAATCTTCTGTAGATAGAAAACAGTGTTACTAAGGCTATGTACAGAAATCAGATAAAAATCAATTTGTTTATAAGATAAGAGATTTTTTTTTTTCTTTTGCTTTCATAATTTGTGTATAATTGTAATGTAGAAGAAGCAAATAACCTAAAAAAGTGATCTTTTATGAAACAAAATTTTAGTCGCTATCATTATCATATCCTTCTGAATCAGCCCTGTCATTGTGATGATCAGCTGGAATACAATGATGCCTGTTTGTTTTTTCAACTTTTATTTTCATTGTTTACTTTCTCTTTTATGTTAAACACTGGTGATGCAAAGAGTGTGTGGAGAGAGATAGAGAGCGGGGGAAAGGGNCATCCTTCCTCGTTCTGTTTCAACCTTCTGCAAAATGGGAGGCACTATATGCTTATTTTGAAAGCCACTAAATTTGCATGTTGTAATTTTTAATCCTGCAGGATGCAGGTATTGTCTCTCATCCCCATGGAACCTCGAGAAAAACTGCAGGAGAACAAGTCACTCTGAGAAGTGGTTTTGATGCCTTACACCTTCCACGAAAGGTATGTCAATGTAACAGTTGAATGTGGAACACTTTTCAGGTTGCTGAAATTTATGCAGTATGGTCTATTGTTCCAACTGGCCCTACATTATTGTTAAATTGGAGGCTTCAATCAAATATTACGACATTTTTGATCCATCTTCTTGTGTTGTGCAGTAGATAGATGCAAGCTGTGTCATAAAACAATGCTTTCTGAATCTCGGGAGGTTTCTTAATTTGCGACATTTGATCCATCTTCTTAATTTGCGACTACGTGCAGCAATCCAAGGGAAAGAAAAACAGCAGCTGGAAACCATTCTGAATCTTCTGTAGATAGAAAACAGTGTTACTAAGGCTATGTACAGAAATCAGATAAAAATCAATTTGTTTATAAGATAAGAGATTTTTTTTTTCTTTTGCTTTCATAATTTGTGTATAATTGTAATGTAGAAGAAGCAAATAACCTAAAAAAGTGATCTTTTATGAAACAAAATTTTAGTCGCTATCATTATCATATCCTTCTGAATCAGCCCTGTCATTGTGATGATCAGCTGGAATACAATGATGCCTGTTTGTTTTTTCAACTTTTATTTTCATTGTTTACTTTCTCTTTTATGTTAAACACTGGTGATGCAAAGAGTGTGTGGAGAGAGATAGAGAGCGGGGGAAAGGGGGGGGGGGGTGCACTCCAAAGATGCCATTGTCAAATTGTTACAGACTTACTAGCACTAGGGTATGTTGACCTGGAATCGAGTCCACTGTGCGCAATAGTCAAGGAATTCCTCACATGTATGATAGGATTGACACTCAAGTTGAGTTATTCGGATTACGTTTGCATGTTTTGGGCTTGGAAAAGAGTCGAACTTAAATAATTTTTTTAGATTCAGCTTGTTTATATGTAAAATAATCGAGTTATTCGAATTTGACTTGTTTTAGACTAAACAATTTTTTAGACTTGATTAGAAAAATAAACTCGATAAACTTGACTTAAGTTTGTAAATCCTCGCTCGATTATTCACTCTATTCCGGTTTTCTTTCTCCATTTTCCTTTCATCCCTATTTTCCATCTTAAAGTCTTTTTTTAAAAAAAAAAAAAAAAAACCGTGCACGGGATGATGCTATTTCTAGTTCGGTGTCTTCGAAGTTCCTGGTTGGAAGGTCACAATTGCCAAGGTATTTTAATGTCATAATCAAAAATGTAATTTCATGTAATGTGGCTATTTGAGTTATACTGCTTGCAAGGACAGTGGTGACGATTGGTTTAGAAAGGGGTATACGAAATTTATAATATTCCTCAGTTGTCACTTTTACACTCACAGCTATTCATTACCACTTTTACGCCTACCCTATCCTAATATTATTAAAATTTTATTTATTAATGTGTTAACTCGATATTTTATAAAAATTTAAATGTAAAATAATTAATAAAAGTGATGAGAAATTTAAATTTGAAGTAATTATCTAAAAAACGATTACATAGATGTTGAAATCCAAATAAAGGAAACTAATTAAGTAATTCAAAATTAAGAGAAAATAAGTTTTGGAGAGGAAATTCTTTTAATCACTCTGTCTCCTAAATTTGAGTCTTTATGGAGAAAATAGAATAAGGCCTAAGGTCTAATTATGGAGAAAATATTGTATCTATTAGTGGAAAAAATATTGAGTGTAATATCTATATCNAAACAGCAGCTGGAAACCATTCTGAATCTTCTGTAGATAGAAAACAGTGTTACTAAGGCTATGTACAGAAATCAGATAAAAATCAATTTGTTTATAAGATAAGAGATTTTTTTTTTCTTTTGCTTTCATAATTTGTGTATAATTGTAATGTAGAAGAAGCAAATAACCTAAAAAAGTGATCTTTTATGAAACAAAATTTTAGTCGCTATCATTATCATATCCTTCTGAATCAGCCCTGTCATTGTGATGATCAGCTGGAATACAATGATGCCTGTTTGTTTTTTCAACTTTTATTTTCATTGTTTACTTTCTCTTTTATGTTAAACACTGGTGATGCAAAGAGTGTGTGGAGAGAGATAGAGAGCCGGGGAAAGGGGGGGGGGGGGTGCACTCCAAAGATGCCATTGTCAAATTGTTACAGACTTACTAGCACTAGGGTATGTTGACCTGGAATCGAGTCCACTGTGCGCAATAGTCAAGGAATTCCTCACATGTATGATAGGATTGACACTCAAGTTGAGTTATTCGGATTACGTTTGCATGTTTTGGGCTTGGAAAAGAGTCGAACTTAAATAATTTTTTTAAATTCAGCTTGTTTATATGTAAAATAATCGAGTTATTCGGATTTGACTTGTTTTAGACTAAACAATTTTTTAGACTTGATTAGAAAAATAAACTCGATAGACTTGACTTAAGTTTGTAAATCCTCGCTCGATTATCCACTCTATTCCGGTTTTCTTTCTCCATTTTCCTTTCACCCCTATTTTCCATCTTAAAGTTTTTTTTGAGAAAAAAAAAAAAAAAACGTGCACGGGATGATGCTATTTCTAGTTCGGTGTCTTCGAAGTTCCTGGTTGGAAGGTCACAATTGCCAAGGTATTTTAATGTCATAATCAAAAATGTAATTTCATGTAATGTGGCTATTTGAGTTATACTGCTTGCAAGGACAGTGGTGACGATGGGTTTAGAAAGGGGTATACGAAATTTATAATATTACTCAGTTGTCACTTTTACACTCACCGTTGTCCATTACCACTTTTACGCCTACCCTATCCTAATATTATTAAATTTTTATTTATTAATGTGTTAACTCGATATTTTATAAAAATTTAAATGTAAAATAGTTAATAAAAGTGATGAGAAATTTAAATTTGAAGTAATTATCTAAAAAACGATTACATAGATGTTGAAATCCAAATAAAGGAGACTAATTAAGTAATTCAAAATTAAGAGAAAATAAGTTTTGGAGAGGAAATTTTTTTAATCACTCTATCTCCTAAATTTGAGTCTTTATGGAGAAAATAGAATAAGGCCTAAGGTCTAATTATGGAGAAAAAATTGTATCTATTAGTGGAAAAAATATTGAGTGTAATATCTATACCATATCAGCATTGTTACGTGATGTAATCGTTTACTAATAAGTAAACAAATCTGCAAGAAAGTCTCACAAAAATTCATAATCCCCTAGTCATGTAATATATAATCACCTCCATAATAAAAAAATGGGTACTATTTTATTTATTTTGTAGTTTTATTATTGAATGATAATGTTTAAAATTATGTACATTACTCCTCGTTTGTTTTAAAATCAAAGTTTTTGTTTGATTTTTTCTTGACCATAAACTTAATGGAATATGACAACAAACCAACACATTTTAATCAAATATGTAGAGTCCCTTTTTCCCTCAAGTGATGTTTTGTTCTGAGGTCGAAAATCACTTTATATTTTTTTCACATGTTTTTTGATCTCTGACTGATGTGCTATCTATTTGATATTATGTCATATATTATAAGGGTATTTTAGATACTTTGACAATGTTCTTTAGAGAGAAACAATAGAAACAAAATCCACAATATATTTTGGATGTGTGGAGTGTACTCTTCATTAACTTTGATAATAAAAGTAATCATTTCACTTTAATATATAACTAAAAAAAAAAAAAATCAATGAGTCTTTAGTCTAAAGATACTCCTTAACTTGTGAAAATTTTATTTTTTTTAAGTCAAGGGTTCAAATTCCCCTGTCCTTTCCCCTTCACAAAAAATAAATTAAAAAGTATAATGTACATAATTTAAAACGTCAAGTAGATAAAATATTTATAACTGAAACTACAAGAAGATAAACAATAATTAACCCTAATAATAATATACTATGTATGTGCAGTGAATTCCACTCTAATGACTAATTAACAGTTATATCAATTGTTGGAGATTCAACGTTACGGAATTCTTACGTCGATATATCATACTTGCATTTATGAGCCCAAAAAGTATATTGATGTTTTATTAAATATTATTTATTGGAATAAAATATTACCACACAAATTTATTTAGCTACTACTATAACTTTATTTTTACTTCCAAATGACTAATAAATATATTGAATAATGTATATTAAGACTTTTTCATTTTTTTTTCCCTATTTCTGCTCAAATTTTTTCTCCCTATTTGATTTTTTTTTGGTTAAACGATTAGGGGTATACGAGTTAGCTTACACGCACCTCAACTAATCTACTCCTAAATCTAGAGGTAGGTCATCGACATCAAAATTAAAATATTCATGAGGTATAATTTCCTCTACGCCAAGACTATAGTAGACATAATTTCCTCAACATCTCTAAAAAGAACTATATATATATAAAGAGAAAATTTTAACCGCACCTCTTTTAGCTTACTATATTTCAAGGCCAGCCTTTAACAAAAATCTTAAGTGACACCAAAAGGTGTTAACTAGAATGTTATATTTTAGGAAAAAATTTATCCACACCCCTCTAAATATATATATATATCTTTCATGAGACTCCCTCTATTTTCTAAATATTATTATTTATTAAAATTTAGACCCATTAAAATTTAATTCGAGTTAGTTAAAATTTATTTTTTAAGTATTAAAATTCAAATTGATTAAAAATTATATTTTTTACATATTAAATCAATTTGGATNATAATGTATATTAAGACTTTTTCATTTTTTTTTCCCTATTTCTGCTCAAATTTTTTCTCCCTATTTGATTTTTTTTTGGTTAAACGATTAGGGGTATACGAGTTAGCTTACACGCACCTCAACTAATCTACTCCTAAATCTAGAGGTAGGTCATCGACATCAAAATTAAAATATTCATGAGGTATAATTTCCTCTACGCCAAGACTATAGTAGACATAATTTCCTCAATATCTCTAAATATATATATATATATATATAAAGAGAAAATTTTAACCGCACCTCTTTTAGCTTACTATATTTCAAGGCAACCCTTTAACAAAAATCTTAAGTGACACCAAAAGGTGTTAACTAGAATGTTATATTTTGGGAAAAAATTTATCCACACCCCTCTAAATATATATATATATATCTTTAATGAGATTTCCTCTATTTTCTAAATATTATTACTTATTAAAATTTAGACCCATTAAAATTTAATTTGAGTTAGTTAAAATTTATTTTTTAAGTATTAAAATTTAAATTGATTAAAAATTATATTTTTTACATATTAAATCAATTTGGGTTAAATTTTAAATTTTAATCAATTTTAATCGAATTTTAATTGATACAAAATAAAAAATATATAAATTTTATTTAACTTGAAATGAATTTTAATCGATAATAACAATTCAGGTAAAGTTCAAATCAGTTCGAATTTTAATACATAATTTTTTTTAATAGGCTCAATTTTTAATACTTAAAAAAAATTTAATTAGTTTGAACGAATTTTAATCGACTAAAATTTTAATACGTAAAAAATAAATTTTAATCGACTTAAATTTTAATTAAATTTTATGTAGAAAAATTATTTAGGTTTATGTAGGAATAATTTGT